AATCATTGAAAAGTAATAACAGAACACTTACGACTTTGAGCATACCCAGAACAAAAATGTCCTACTCTGAAGCTGTACCAATCGGACGTGGCGAATGACCAAGTGACTCAGTGTAGCCTTATACGATGTTTATTAAAGAGAGAAAACCTACCAGAACTGAAATATAATATGGAATTTGGGTCAACTGTCTAGAGTCACCTGGGTCAGGACTCAGGTCCATAGAGGGCCATAAAGAGGGTCAAAGGGAGAGTTTATACTCGCAAATCGCATGTTGGTCCATGCATTTCAGTGCAAAGGGTTCTGACACGTATTTAAATTGAGTTAAGTTGACAAAACGTTTTAAATGGAATTATTAAACAAATGCAAGTAGTCTAACTTTACAATAACCGTTTTAATTGTGGATAACAATGATGAATAAACAACCCTGATTCTGAGCTTCACTAACATGTTTTAAAGTAGATTCAATGAGTAAGTAAACACTGCAAATGCTCACGATTGCTAAGTCGTGGCTCTACGGTAATTTTCATCCCAATGCTGTATATTGGGCTACTAAAGTGGCTGTTTGGTAGCCTCTAATGTCCAATTACTGTTTTTAATCACAACAAATAGTATTGTAGAGCTTTCCATTGTTCAATTTACCCCACTGAGGCAGTCAAAGCCCTTTGAATTATGTGGTTCCGTACATTGATCTTAAAGTTTGGCCACCATTTTGAAAAATGGCTGCCACAGCTGTGAAGAGCAAAATCAGAGATGCCCCAATATCCAGATTTGTTTATATTGTTAGTCTATCTCCATGCCAGATTTGGTGCTTTTATCACAAAATGCACAATAGGTTCACTGTGCTGCCCCACTGCTATGCATGTTGGGGCCTAAAACAAGGATGGAGAGCCAAAGTGTGCTGTGTATAAACCAGATTGTAAAAACGGTGCAGTATGGGAAGTGTTTGCAGTGTTGGCTTCCTGTTGATTTTCTGTGATGGGTTGATCTTCAATGTATATACATGTATATAGGCCTATACATAGCCCTATCATAGGCGATGCGGTTTAGCATTCAGATGCTATGCAATGGGCCAATGGGCGTCGCAAATTTTTTTCCGGGGGCCAACCGCTTTTTTTCAGTTGAGGAATTTCCAGGGGATGAATAGGCCTACTTATCAGCTACAAACTGATAATTCATATAGTGGGAGGTGGTCAGTCAGATTTTTTTTTTTTGGGTCAAGTAATCTTCCATGTTTTCATCGCCTTCCATTTTCCCCGATCTCTTTCGTTTTCCCTTTTCTCTTTTTTAATTTAGAATTTTTCGGGCGGAAAGCCCTTAACCCCCCCCCTCCGCGACGCCCATGGAAGCGATGAGTTAAGTATTAAACCTAAACCAAACTGATTAAAAGAAGTAAACATGCAAGAAAGATACAAACAAAAAGACAGACACACAAATAAGAAAAATGTAAGCGTGACTATTTTATTGGCAGCTCAAGTTCAGGAACAACAAAGACTGGTGGTTTTCCAAATACCAAACCTAAGCTCTATATCCGTCAGCGCCGTGGGGCTTTCAAAGACTATACTCTCCGCCGGCTTGACTCATTTTGAGCTCAGTGGACCTACTGAAAAAATAGTGATGGCAAGTATAAGGGGCCATTTGAAATTTTCGATGTTTTTAATTTCGATTTTTTTCGAAATAGTGAGTGGGTGGGTCAAGGTAAATTTAAGAAAATAGAAATTCACTTTAAAAAAGACAGAAAGAAATTGGGTTGACTTGCGTGAACTGCGCGCGCCGTAAGTGCGGTCTTTTCCAACGTCGCGATGTGTCCTTCCCAGTATACATGTATGCACAATATACGGTGTAAAACTCCATTGGTGAAGGTGGGTTATCTGGGACCTGTTGGCTGCATCCAAATCTGTTGTACTATAGATTAGAAATACATGTACGTCGAGGAGCGCAGACAATCGTCTTTGCCGTAGCTGTGGTGGAAGCCCTTATTTTGAGCGTTATCCGAGCAATGCTAAAATGTACATAATGATAGGCCAAATCACGTAAAACCAAAGCACAAGCTACCGGGTACAGGTTCGTCACTACATGCATCTGTACTGTACAGCATAGGCAACATGGCATAATCTGACGGCGAACACATAGGCCTACGTGTCATCTAAAATTGTGTAATTTTTTCATGAATATTTGTGCAGGTGGAGGTAATCAAATATGAAATGGCCGTTATGGGTGCTACTGTGCAAAACTCTGCTGGATTTCACGTAAACGTGAAGCAACCATATGCAAGTTGTGTGATGGAGTACATGTACATGGGGTGCCTGAGAAGTACATGTAATATATACGTGTACGGTACATATGCACTATAAACTGGTTCCCCGCTAGAAATAGCAGTGACCCCCTCCCCTGGGACAAAGTGTAGTCCTTTCTTAATATTTATGCAAATTTTATTCACATCAACTGAAAACGAGGCTGTCGGTGACTCGTGTGTCTCGGTGGCTGTAAACGGAGGTTGTTGAAGTTGCACGCATGCACCGTTTGTGTCAAAGACTACAAACGGCTGGTTGTTGCCACGGTACGATTGGGCCGTTTTCGGGGCGTGCCGGGGCGGGACGTTAGTAAAGACTTTTTTGTCATTCAGCCGGTTGCCTTTAATGACTCGGCTATTTCTTTTCCAAGCTCAGAATTCTATAGATGCTAATTCGAAAATTACAGACGTTATTTCATTATGCTGGGCGCGATCATTCATGGAGGAAGGAACAGACTGAATCAATCGAACTGCACAATAAACGGTGTACGGTGTAGTGCTAGTGATTGTGATTTTTTTTTTATACAAACACCGTAAATGCCGAAAGAAGTCGTTTCAAAGTCAAAATCTACCTTGAATAGTCGCCCCTCGTCTCGTTTGATCTGATCAATCCGCTTTTATCGCAGGATCTCGTTCTTTGGAAATCGATAAAAGCTAATTTCTGGTCTAATTTCTGATATTCGTTTGTGATTGTTACAATACGGCACTGATGCTTTGCTTTGTTCAGCAACTGCGCGGAGTCCCCTACAGCCTCGTTTTCAGTTCCGACACATAAAATTTGCATATATTAAGAACGGCCTATTCCAAACTCGAACAACCCGCAAACAAGAATCGATTAAAAAAATCGAAGTATTTTTGCGAATTAGTTGAGAAAATTAGATTGCTCTTCCTGTAGGCCCTATTTGTATTTTTTTCAGTTTGATGTACATGTATTTATGTCGAGGTCTCATTGCACGAGCTTTAAGCGTTACTGAAGTCCAATTTTCTGTTGGACCGTCGCCAGGTTCCCGGAGCAATGGCCAGTTGTCAAAGACGGTGCACTTCAGCTGATGCGCCGCTCGCGGAGGAATACAAAATATCACACGTCAATATTGCATGTTTTCATCTGGGATGTGATATCTGGGTGTGAAAATACTGTAAACGAGAGCGCTGTAACAAAACAGATGTACATAATTAATGGGAGAACAGCCACGGATGCGAAAAAAGAGCTTTATATATGAAAGAAGAACATATATCATCAGGGAGTGCTGTAACTGCTTTCCTTAGAGGCCCCCAATTAAAATTAATCAGTAAAAAATACAATTATTATAAAAACCATGATACTAAAAAGCACAGCAAAATAATTTACTTACAGTGAAGTTACATAGAATATAAATACGGGAAAGAGTAAAACTTGTAAATAATTTATGCAGTTCCCTTCAGCCAGAAGAGAGACGACCAGATGTGACAATCGTCAGGCCCTTCGATTTAGAGATGATTTCAAACCTATTGGTTTTACTAGTATCGTCCACATTGACTGCAGAGTCAGGCTGATTCGTGGCCTCACATCGGAGGGTATGGCTCGTAAATTACAGGGAGGTACCGCACCAGACGGCAATTAAAGATGGCTGCAAATTGAGGTCTGTGTATCAACCAGGACTGATCAGTCAATGTAATGAAAATTTAAAAACCTGGCTCGATTGCATGCTTGTACAAGAGGAATTTTGTTGTACAAACTCATCCTGGAATTCAATGAATTTGAGGTGTTGCAACGGCCAGCCCTAAATTGCAGAATTACGTTAAGTATCTCGCCGGAAATCAAGCCCTTCTCAAGATCTGCCGATCTTGAGAAGGTGATTTCTGGAATACTTGATGGGTACACTTGTTTGTGGATCAGTCGACTCACTCTTTTCTTTTTGAAAGATCAAGCTGCATTCTGGACAAGGGTTTATGGAGATATCCATGGTACAGTTACACCAAGAGGTGGGTCATATCCAGATCTAGCCGTGTTTCGACCATTTGGTTATGGCAAACTTCGAAGGATGAAATCCAATATGACACAGCTTCACACCGTCATTGCTGGGCTGGATGGGGCATGGGTTCACAAGATGCTCTAATACATGTACCATGTCGTAACACCGTGTACTGGACATACAAGTCTCATGATGTCGACCTCTATCAAATGGTAACATGATGAGCGAAGCACCAATAGTAGGCTATAGTATAGAATTCGGCATTGCAGTAATCTTGAAGTGCGACGACATTTAGATTTCTTTAACAGGAATGGAAGGAAACCACACCAAAAATGGCCGTCGCACGTCAAAATTGAGCAGGAGGGATCCGTAAAATGTTCCAAAGGTCTGCTGTAGCACCAAAGAATCGGCACAAAACACACAAATGGATAATTATCAACTGGTACAAAAAAAATATAACACAAGATGGCTAAAACCTGAAGCGATGATAAAAATGGATTGAAGTATGTAAAACGCAGAGGGCCAAGGTAAAACTAGGGGGCAGCTGGTCAACAGCACCCTCTCAGATATTTGTAATCCAAATTGGGGGTGGGTCAAAACAATTTCCAAAAAAAATATCGAAATTTAAAGTGACATCGAGGATTTTGGATGGCCCTTAAAAACATTTGAAGTTTTGAGTCCTGGGTAAATAATTCTTCAGACTGAACAATAGAGGGCTCATTTTCTAATCCCGTCGGCGTGGCGCCTATGGTGGCACACTACTCGCTGCGTGCGCTGCTTGCACGTGTACATTCATGGATACGCGCGCACTTAAAAGTATGTGTACATATACTTTATATGTACTCGAGCGTTGCACGTTGGATTTCAAGCTGAACGAACATGTATCTTAGGCCTAATTCACACATTTTCAAGACGGTAAAGTGATATTAATATTAACCTCAAACAGAAGCGGAGAAATAGGCCTACACATGTATTCTTTAGACAATGCTGACCAACGTAGTGAGCAACTTTCACAGGGCAGAGCCCGCGGCACTACCTTAACGATCAGATAGCCAGGGCCTTCATGTACATTGTAATTGTTTTCAATAACGTTATATGTTGGTGGGCTGCACATCTACCAAGTCGAGGATGAGACAAATGGAAGATCTTGTTAATGACAGGTGAGTAAGAAGGAACAGTGAGTTAGGCCTAACGTTACGTGGAACAATTGCAGATTAGCCCAGGTGGACTCCCCGAAAGTACTACTCCTTGGGAAGACAATGTCCAACCATGGAGGAAGGACACAGAAGGAGTTGTATTTCAGGCACTTCAAAGCGTCCAATGATGGTCGCCGCCGAGTCTGACGAATAATAGAAAACATTCCAAAAATGCCTTATTGCTGCCTGCATCTTAGCTGGACAAGTGGGGCCAGTAATACCCTGGCAACACTTGTAGTTTTTTGCTTGCAATTAAATACAAACTATCGATGTGACCAGGAAATAGAGAGAGAAAAAATCCTGATATTAGACCTACTTTTGCCATCATAAATAAACTTTTTAAATTTTGACACACTGTTTCATTATCCATGCAAAGTTTGTAATTCTAGTCTCCTCCATCCAAGATACATCAGTGTCAAAGACTTGGAACGAATTTGGCTAAGACTGGCCAACAAAATGTTCACTACTTCTGGAAAGCTTAGTTCATTAGCAACAAAATGCGCCATTTCATCATAAGGAGTGATCTTGAAATCTCATAAAATATGCCTTTGTACAAATGCCACAAAAAATGATTCAAACAAAACACAAAATCTTACAAACAGCTTTGCTATTTATTCCTAAAAAAGTCCAGAAGAAAGCATTCGATAAGGGCAACAACTGCACATGAACACTTCGAAGTATACAGCCTAATAAAAGCAACTGCGCAAACACTACGTTTGATGATGTTGTCGGTTCATATCAAGCACCAACGATGGCATGAATATTCAACTTCCTATACCGCAGTACACAACGTTTTAGGGTGCAGATTACCAACGAAAAATTGCGGCGACGATCATGGGGTACAAAGGGAGCTTGTGGTTGCAAAACAGCTGGTGGGTAGAAGGCTATGGACATACCGGGCATGCCTTCTGTGTCCTTCCTCCATGGTCCAACCTGGGCTAAATTGCAGCTCGGAATACTTAATCAGATGATCTAACTTGTAGTTGAAGCTTACGGGATCAAAATGCAGGTTTCAAGTCAACTCAGACCCAAACCAACCCAGACCCATGCCAGCTCTGACCCAAAGCTAACTCAGACCCTCACCAACTCGGACCCACGCCAACTTGGACCCAATACCAACTCGGACCCATGATCAACTTGGACCACGACCAACTTGGACCCACGACCAACTAGGACCCATAACTGACTCGGAGCCACACCAACTCAGACTCAACCCGAGTCAACTCGGAGCCAACCTGAGGAACGTGTAGTTTCTGCGTGATAAATCAGAGTGTTTTTAACTGTTAAATGACTCTTTTTGCCTCTATTTTATTCAACCTTTAATTATTTTATTCAAATTTACCAGAATCTTAAGTTTTAGATTTCATTTGTCCACATACATGTATCCTAATTCCAATTTCATTACTCCATTCCCATGATTACCGGTATGGGTTACTGTGTAGGCCTTGTACAGTATTTGGGTGAAGGTTCACTGAATTATGAAATCGATAATTTGGCAGAACATCTTCTAACTGGTCAATGCTAATGCTGAGTTTTCCAAGATTTGTTCAGTGCTCACTATTTGAATACCGAACGGCCTGGCAATATTATTTAACACACATTGCCTCCCATAGCCCTAGCTAATGGATGTGGTTTGTCACTATACATTTAGTCTATGTATAGTGAAGGCACATGTACATGCAATAATTCGCAGAGCCACATCGTCCACATCTTTTCTTATGAAAAAATTTAATTTGCAATCTGACCTTACGGTTGGTACGGTATAAAATGCTTTATGAGACCATATTAAACGTTCTTAAATTGTGATAAATTAGTATCACTTACACCTGTACACTGCAACTTTTCAGTAGATATGCAAACCCCGGTTTTTAAAAATGGGAATGATTAGTTTTACATGTAAATGATGATTCAATGTACTGCTTAAAGGAATTGAAGAGGGCAGAAATTGTCTTGGTTGCAAACCGAAACATCTATAGGAGCAAGAATATTTTTGGATCCATACCAAAAGCCTCGCTGCTAGGCTGTCTGGCTTTGTGCGTTTCATTTCAAAGTTGCAAAAATAGAATAAGGCTCAGTGGGTCCAAGTTGACTCGGGGTACATGTAGGTCCGAGTTGGCGTGCGTCAGAGTTGGTTATGGGTCTGAGTTGGTAGTGGGTCCGAGTTAGTATTGCGTCCGAGTTGGCGTGGGTCCGAGTTGGCTTCGGGTCTGAGTTGGCATGAGTCTGAGTTGGTTTGGGTCCGAGTTGACCTGATCCCAAAATGCACACTCAACATACTCAATAAACATTCTCAGTCCACTTCATAGCTGCACCATGTCGTAGCCGCCAACAGGATGGTTGGTTTGGACTAGGACTTTTTTCAACAATCCCTGTCCATCTTATTCATTCAGAATTTCAGACAAACTGTCAGTTGGGGTTGATCTGAAAATATTAAGTTACCTCTCTTTTTGAACCCTCTAATCCAGCCGAGGTGGAGTAAGTTGTGCCACTACAAGTACAAGTACATGTACAATGTAGGTTGGCCCAACTTGGACTCCCAAAAATCAGTGGATTAGTGTAAGTTGTGTCAGAGATAACGACCCCCCCCCACAGCAAAGAGCCACGATATAACGTGGGGACGGAGACACATGCAAATCATTTTGCCCTGAACAGACTTTGAAATACCGTTGAATAATTTTGGGTTTTGATTGTCAGCGAATCTTTTTCAACTTACGCCGTGAATGAAATAGTGTGCAAGAGAACACACGTACATGTACATGTACATTTATGTTCACATCAGTGTTGTAGTCAAGTCCATCACAAGTCCTTTCACAAGGCCAGTCTTCGGGGTGAAGGTGAACAATGACGAAAGAATGCTTTTGTCTCAGCTCATTTCAATAGCTTGTGAATTGGCTTATTGTCTGACAAGTGAGTGGCTTGTAATGGACTTATAGGGACTTGTGATGGACGTGAATACAACACTGGTCTGCATATGGATGAGGCAATGTATGGACATAACCACTATACCCACTGAATGCTTTGATTTTAAATCACAGTTTCTAATGCAAAATTCCTTTTGCCA